CTCTTTCTCACTGCCCCCTACCCCCGGATATTTATTTTATCCCATAGACAAACACTGCAAACATGTATTTCACATGCAGGAATGGGGTAGATGGAGTCATTTATGGGGTAGATTGTCCGAGCCCCTAAAGTATAGCTCACACTTGTTAGTGAGATGAAAGTCCTCAAATTGTTGAGACCACAGAACCATTAAGTATTAACCGCATAACCATGTTGCCCATTGAATTAATTTATGGAGTTACAGAAAAGCGTTTGGAACCCTTCTTGATAGACACTGGCCCTCAAGAGCCACATAAAACAATCACCTGGCTGGTGCTTGGTAAACTTTCCGTGACGCTCATCCAATCTGCTCCGTATATGTTTAAAATTAACTCTGAGATCTGGGCTGTGAAGCTGCCATCAGGCGGCGGGACTGGCTGGCCGGCGAGGGCAGGGAGCCCGAAGTCTGGGAGGGTCCGCTGCACGGTCAGACTTTCTATATCTGAGTCCTGGCAGAGGAGCTGGCTACTCCGTGCACAAAGCCGGTTTCACAATTTTGGGTGCATTTGAATGCCCAGCAAATCCCAGACTCGGAGCCCGTACCTGTCCAGCAGGTCCAAGGAAGATTCTGGCCAGCCAAGCAGAGCTGCATTGGCAGGGTCCTGGAAATAAAACTCCAGAGGTTCCAAGCAGTCCGAGGACAGGTAGAGACAAGGGAGGGCTGGCTGGCCACGGAGTGGACTGCACGTGGCCCTGACCATGAAATTGGCTGTGGCGGGCAGTGATGCTGAGTGAAAGGTTGGATCCTGAGTGGTACAGACTGGACTAGTGGGCAGCAGGGCTGTGAAGTGCAATGCTGGGCGGCAGTAACCGTGGACTGCAGCTGAACTTATCCCTAATGACCATTCCAAGGTCTCAGACAATTAGACCACAGATCCCAGCTTTCTAGTTCAGCAGAATTAAAGGTCACTTCTGTACTGCCCTGCCCCCTCTGCCATTCTCAGAGTAAATTACTGCCTGCAAGCTGCCTGGCTGCTTGGTGAACCCATGACATTGCTCCTTGTTGACTGTCTCTGAGTAGTTCTCATTTGTGCTAATCAGGTTAGGAGGCCCCTCCTCTTGCAGACCCCACTTAAATGGCTCCCCAGCCACCAGGAGCACCACTGGGGCTCCGGAGTCCTCATCCCGAATCAAGAGTCCTGTTCAAAGCCTGATCCCAGGAGATAAGATGTTATCAGTTTCCTGCTCCAGACGACCCAGAAGACGGCATTTCCACAGAGTCCAACTGCAGATGCCTTGGGCTCCACCAGCTCAGGGAGGTCAAGGCTGATGTGAACCATAAATCCCAGCTGCAAGAGGCTCCCCCCTGCCCTTTGCCCCTCCTCCATTAGCTTTGCCAATTTGTTTAATAACTGCTTGGGAAAGGAATAAAGAGAAATAAAAGCTCAGGCTGCAGCCATCAATTTAACTAGAAATGGCAAATGCCCTTTAAAGAGAAAAATGAATATTGATCCGAAGAAGAGAAGCTTCTACCTTCAGGAAATTCATCATCGGGCACCTTTTACATTAAGGCAGAAAACGTGACCAAGTATGATATGCATAGCCACGAAATTCAAACTTGGGTTGATGAAGAGTATTTGGGAGCGCTTGTCTCCCCATAGTCTTGGGAACACCAGTTATGAAATTGAGCAACTTGGTTCTTATTTAAACATTTTATTGACAAGCATCATGATTCCAAATTATAAAATATTTGTTCAGAAAGGAACCTTATGGTAATAACTCCATGTAGGGACAGAACATTTCAGAAGCTACAGACACTGTGACATATATTCTCCTGCTCAACCCCTTGCATGAACCCTGTGAGACGGTTATTTTTACCCTCGGTTTACAGATCAGGAAACTGGGGCTCAGAGAGGTAAAGCAACTTGCCGAGGTCACACAGCTAGTTGGTGGAGCGCTGGGATTTGACCCCAGCTCTTCTCAGTCTAATACCAGCACTCACAACAAAACATCCCCCACTTGCTTCTCCTCAAGATTCTTGAGTCAGACTCCAAAGTAGTTTTCACTTAACTAGGAAATTCCATCTCCATTAAAGCCAGTGGTGCCCAGTGGTAACATTAAATTGTTTACGCCTTGTAATAATAATAACAAAAAGCTAGCGTCCACTGAATGTTTCCTCTGTGCAGACACTATGTGCTGCTGCCTTATGCCTGTCAGGTCACTGCATCCTCATGACCACCGTCTGAGGAGGTACTACTCTCCTTCCTGTTGTACGGATGTGGAAACTGAGGCTCCGGGAAGTTCAGTAACTTGCCCAAGTTCACAAAGCCAGCAGGGTTTCAAGCCCAGGCGGTCTGGCCATCTGGAGGTCATGGGCCAAGGCCACTAAAGTGGGAGCCTCTCATCCTCACTGCAGGGGCCCCAGGGGGTCCCAGGCTCCAGACAAAGTGGAAAGACAAACAGGCTCTGCTTCATGACCCTGCAGTTGCTGCCAGTCTGCTCTTTGGCACTGACTGTTCTAATGCATGTACGTGCACGTGCCTGCGTGTGTGTGTGTGTGTGTGTGTGTGTGTGTGTGTGTGTGTGTGTGTGTGGTGAGCATTTGCATCTATAAAGATGGATACACGAATATTTGTATCTATCAGGACTTCTGTGAATAAACAAATATGCATTTTGGATGCTACTGAACTCAGGACTGATTCCAAAAGTGTCCCAAAGGGAATTCAAAGAAGAGTTCTCCTGTATCAAGCAAAATGCCACACACAGAATCCCTTCAGCAGCGGCCCCTTCACAGAGCTCCCAAGCTGGTGGAAGTGATTTAAAGGAGTGTTTTGTAAACACGGACCCATCATGAAAGGAACAGAGGCTTCAGCTGTGACCCTGGCGGTCCTCATGCCCCAGAGGCGGCCTAGTCACGGGGTGACCCCTCCCCGAGGGACACCCACACCCACCCTTCTGGCCAGGAGACGCCAGGCCTCAGGATGCATCTGCTAGACCACAGCAGAGGGTTTTGTATAGACAACCTTCCTTCACAGATGGATAGACTCTCTGGCAGATGGACCACCCCCTCCCCTGCCCCAGACACACTCTTACCCGGCAGTACTCATCGATGGGCTTCAGCCTCTTCACAGCTACGTCCCGGATGTGGCTTCTCCGGAAGAGGATTTTGCCTGGAAGAGAGATGCTCGTGAGCTGGGTGACTCTGGGTAAAGCTGCCATAGGGACCTGGGACGCTATCCTCTCATTCCCTCTCCCTTGGCTTCTCAGCATCTTAGCTGGCCACCAAACACCACCACCTCTGCCCGTTGCCAAGGAAACAAGAGAGGAGTGGTCACCTCTCCCTGGGGGGCAGGAGGTGCCCCAGGCTGAGGGCTCAGGACTTCTGGGCCAGACGAGGAGTCCCGGAGGCTGCCATCTTGGCCAAATCACCTTGTCTGGGTCTAAAGACAGAATCCATGCCCTGATGTGGATGCATCTCTCAAGTGACCTTGCAAATAAATATAAAGGCTGGCCCAACCCACCCCTGTGTTTTGTTTCCAGGCCCATCCCTCCTTGAGAAATCGGCATTCATTCCTGCCAGCCTGATAGGAATTCCTATTCTTAGCTAAGTTGGGTGGCTATTTCCAGGGCAGGCTCAGGTCAATACAAGGGAGCATGGCTGCCCCAGCCTGACTGGCCTCCAGCCGTATGGGCCCCTGCAGCTGGGCTGGTGTACCCCTCTACAGGTATGGGCAAGGCTTTTGGAAAATGCCAGCCCCCAAACCTTCCCAGGAGGCTCTTCTGAACCAGCCAGATTCAATTATAACAAATAGATCAAAGCATAGTCCTTTTACAATTGGTTAAATTTAAAATCTGAACTCCTCGGTCTGACATTCAATGCCTAACACAGCTGATGTTTCTGTGCCCAGTGGCCACCAATGTCTAGGCCAATGCCTCCTTTTTAGAAGCTTGATTGCCAAGCTGGGAGTAATCACGCTCTTTCCAGAATACCCACACATTTTGTCCATTCCTAAGACACTCAACACATTCTGACGTGTATTACAAACATTTGTGAGCCCCTTCCACCAGAAGCCTGTCTGTCTCATCTTAGGGCCCACGGAGCACAGCATGTGGTGAGGCACTCACCTCACAGCTGTAACAGGCATCTATTGTCCAACACCACCCATTCCCCTCTGGTGAGCCTCCCTCATCCATTCCCTTGTGGGTTCAAATGGGGCCGACCACACCCCCTGGCGACAATGGTATGCATGCGACCCAGCGTAGCCACCCAGAGTCACAGCGATGGGCTCAGAGATGGGCAGGGGACCCGATCTGGGCCAGTGAGGGTCAGCCCTGAGGCTTCTGCAGGTATCCTCTTCCTCCCACAGTTTTCTCCTACAGCTGCTAAGCTGGCAGGATGAAAGCCTGGAGCTCCTAGTGATCATCTTTCTTATTGCCTAAGAAGGAAACCAACCAAGAGAAAGAATCTGAACCTGGCACAGAGTAGGTGCTCAATAAATGTATCTTCTCTCTTCTTCTTCCTTCTTTTTTTTTTTTGGCTGCCCCCAAAAAAATCCCTGGCCACAGATTAAGCCCGCGCCCTCGGCAGTGAAAGCGCAGAGCCCTAACCACTGGACCACCAGGGAATTCCTTCAATAAATGTTTCTTGAATGATTGAAAAGCAGAGCTGAGAGATGGTGAAGGGCAGATTCCTCTGACATCATTTGAGCAGCTGGATGTAGTTGTTCCTCTGAACCCAGGGTCTACCTGGTACTTTCCACTTATATAAAACAATACAAATTTTTTAAATTGAAACTTGTTGGAGATGGATTTTCATCACTTGCATTAATGGAGTCCTAAATGAGATGACTCGCATTGCAAGTGAACAAATACGTAGACTGCAAGTTAATCTACTCAAGATCCTTCTATCAAGGTCCAAGTGCAGTACTAAGCATTGCCTTGGTTTAGGTTGTTGAAGTGAGTGCAAAGTTGTTTATTTGGGAAGTGATCTGGGAAATACCAGTAGGGGATTGGGGAAGTAAGGCAGGGCAGGCGAGGAGGTGTCCTTCATGGTGGGTGGCGGCAGCTCATTTCTGTCGAGGAACTCGGGGGATCATGTGGAACAGACTGCAGAGGTACCCCGACCAAGGGCGAGGAGGCTGGGGTATTTATCACCAACTCCCTGCTTGTTGCTGAGCTTCTGAGAGCACTGCTTCTTGGGAGCTTCTGGCCGAGTATGCTCCCGTGGCTAGAACAAAGCCCCCAGTTTTCCTGTAAGCAGCCTTTGGCAGGTAGAGGAGAATGGAAAGGGGACCTGGGGGGGCCCTGGAGGCAGCAGCTACAGCCATCCCCGACTTCCCCGTCACCACAGGTACTAGTCACCAGTCCTGTTCCAGCCAGACCATGGAGCATCTGACGCATCAAGTTGTGTGTGACTTGTTGCGCATTTGTGTCTCTCATACCCCTGCACTCAGCGTGAACCAGAAGCCCCTCCTGCAGCTGCTTGTTCCCCTTGGCAACTCTTGCTGCACTAAGCTCAAGGCTTTGCAATACAGCCGATGCCCAATAGGCACTTGCTGGTCCGTGCATCTCCCTCCCTCTCCCAGATGCTCTGTCAAGCTCTCCTTCCTCCCTCTCTCACCCAAGCCTGGTAGAGGGGCTGTGTCCCCGGCAGAGGGATGACACTGCACAGACTGGACAGTGTCGTCAAAGATAAATGGGCTCTTCCACATGTGCCTTTTGAAAGGAGATAAAACATGATTTATCAAGACATGGGAGGGACTTCCCTGGTGGCGCAGTGGTTAAGAATCCGCCTGCCAATGCAGGGGACACGGGTTTGAGGCCTGGCTCGGGAAGACCCCACATGCCGCAGAGCAGCTAAGCCCATGCGCCACAACTACTGAGCCCGCGTGCCACAACTACTGCAGCCCACGCGCCTAGAGCCTGTGCTCTGCAACAAGAGAAGCCACCGCAATGAGAAGCCCGTGCACCGCAACGAAGAGTAGCCCCTGCTCGCAGCAACTAGAGAAAGCCCGCGCACAGCAATGAAGACCCAACACGGCCAAAAAAAAAAAAAAAAAGACATGGGAGACAGCAGCCACCTTTCCTTTGGGGAAGATGCCACAGATTTGGTATTCTTGGCCTCTTCGCCTCCTACCCTTTTTTGGTTGCCTTTTGCTCTGTTGCCTGCGGGCCACAGGAGCACGTGTGTGCAGCCAAGGGGACAGTGTGTGAAATAAACACGTGGTGGGAGGACACCCACTCTCTGGACTGACGAAATGACAGGCGTCCCTGGGGTGGGGTTCTGGGCCTTCTATCTGAGCCAGGTAGCTGTCAGGAGCTGGGGGCTGCCCAGGCCCAGTGACGCCAGCAGCTAAGCTGTATCTCACAAGAACCTGGAGGACTTGCTTGGAGGTAAAGAACCTAGGAGGGAGTGGGATCGGGAGGTGGGGTGGTGGACCCCAGACCTGGTTCTGCCCTGTGCTTCTTTCAAAGGAGGAAAATGTGACTTATCCACTCCCCCAAAATAGCACTCCTGCCCTTTCTCATACCGTCAGAGGACAAAAAAGAAAGCAGAGAGATGGGGAGACAAACTAGGTTGCCCCTCCCAGACCCCCATCTCAAGGCTGGCCAAACCTCTTGACTGGGTTTGATATTCATGAGATATATAGATACAGATACAGATATAGATATTGACACAGATACAGATATTGATACAGATATAGATATACCAGATAGGACTTGATCCAGTTGCAGAGACAGAACTAGCAAAAAACAAATAGTTAAGGAACGACTAAGGCCTCCAGAGGTGCAGAAGCTTTGAAGGGAGGGCTAGGGTGGGAAGATGGAGAGAGAGGTGGGAGGGCTCCTTACCCAGTTGGCACGGGACCTCCACCCTGCCCCTCAAGCCCACCCTCTGCAGGTGAGGCTGCCATGCCTCCAGGCTGGACACCTCCCATCTCCTCCACAAGGCTCGTGGGTCTGTTGCTCAGGTACAAAGTCAGAGGAGAATTTCTGTACGAGCCATTTGCCAGTTGAGTTTTTGGAATCCCAGCAGGGCTTCTCCCCTTCGCGCTGAAATCCTGACAGGAGCAACATTTTCTTTCCTTGGGTCCTTTTGGCACAGAGGCTGCTGGGAGCGGGGCAGGGGGAGGGGGAGGCAGGGAAGATCTGGAAGGGATTCTATGGACTTGACTTCTCTCTTAGGGATCCCAACCGCATTCTGCAAGCCAAATCGGTGACCATATTAAAAGGGAGAGAGAGAAAAGGGAGGAGGAACAACCCCATGAAGGAAGCTGGGACCACAGGGCATTAAAGGCCTCTTGTAAATGTAATTCAGCCCTTTCACGGCAAGGCCAGGCGAGACTCTTGCCAGAGCCTTCAAAGCCATGTAGATGCAGCCCCAGAAATATGATAAGCATCATAAGGAAGATTACACACGGGGCAAGAGAGAGACCTCAGGATTAACTCCTTCCTGAAAGCAGAGAAGAGAGCTGTTGAGCCTGACAGGGTCTGAGCATGTAAGTGCAGGCTCCTCTTGCTGCCATACTGGGCTGGGCTGAGAGGGTGGGACCAGCAGGGTCCTTGGCTGGAGTCCTGGGTTCAAGTCCTGCCTTGGCCACAGGCTGGCTGTGTGACCCTCCACGGGGCCTCTGCATTCTCATCTGGAGACTGAAGGGCCGGGCCTCCGTGGCTGCTCCCTCCGGGAGTCCTAAGATGCATCTGGGGGTGGGGTTATTGAGAGGGGCAGAGGAAGAGTGAGACAACGGGTAACAGTAGCTAAGGGTTTACTCCTGCCAGGCACAGGCTAAGAGCTTTCCATTGGGTTCTCTGGCTTTATCCTCACCACAACTTTAAAGCAAGTGCTTTTATTGTCCCCACTTTGCCCAGGAGGAGTCCGTGGCTCAGAGAGGTTGAAGGACTTGTCCAAAGTCACACAGCTATTAAATGGCTGAGCTGGGATTTCAACCTGTGGTTTTGGAGCTCAGATAGTGAGAGGGAGAGAGTTCTTTGGGCTCAGATCACGTAAGGCCGTGAGAACCACTTAGGATTTTCTTGTGGGTGTGATGGGAGTATGATTAACATCTCCTGCATGCCACGTGCTGGGCTGAGGTCTGGGGAGCAAGTGTCTCGAGGACTGACTGAGAATGAAGCAAGCAATAATCGTGGAGGAGGGGACATGCCAGGGTGA